AGTCACAAAGAGCACCAGGAGCCCAACAAATGGTGTAAGAGTACAGAAGAGACACAGGACACAGATGAAGCAAAAATTACGGTAGAGCCCCTGCGAAAAACAGAACCACCTATAAGTTTTCTCTGTACTGAATTTTAGGGAAGTACTGGACGCATCACTGAAGCATATTTTTCTTCTCACCCGACTCTCACTATGTTATGGCTATAACCATGAAACTCCTTATGTTATCATTACTAAGCCCTAAGGAATCTAACACTTCATTTTTAAGGACAGCATCAGTATTTCCATAGTTACTAAGCTTGAGCCTTTCTAACTACGATAACTTCACTATAACTCTAACGTTATTCAGGCCCAATGACAGATACCTTAGAAACGTGGGGCCGTGTTGGCAGACCACATGACTGGAGGCTTTTCTCTGTGGCTGGTGAAAGACATTATGTATCTTATTACTTCTTGGAATGTCAAAATCTGAGTTTTAAAATGCCTTACACATAATATTATTTAAATGTGGAGGAAAAAATTATATTTCAGTGATCATTCATCCTCTTATCAGATTCCTGCTATTGTGAAATTTTACATCTCTTGAGGGCTGGGGTGGAAATCCCCCTCTTCAGGCAGGACTGCAAACTGAGTAGAGCTACCATAAGTGGAATTTTTAAAAGATAAGCAGTTACTCAGACCCTCTTTTCTCCTCAGGCCTACTGCCTGTCTTGACTTGGAAGGGACTCTCCATCAGCTGAGGATCTGGGCCGCTGCTATGATTTTATTTTATCCTTGATCTACTTTGTCTATTTCGTCCTAGCTCCATTTTCAGGATCTGTGACTTCCCTTTCAAAGACCCAGTAGGGAACAGGACCAGTTCCAAGAAGGAGCAGCCACTGAACCTGCACATAGAGCATGGTTCACTGCTGTGTTACCGCTGTCCTATGTGAACAGGCACCACAAAACTGAAGCAGCTCAAGAATGGATCAGGACCATTCTATATATTTTATATAGAATTGGCTTCAACCAAGCCAAGTGCAGGATCCTGCACCTGGGATGTGGCAATCCCAGGCACAAATACTGGTTGGGTGGAGAATGGCTGGAGAGCAGCCCTGAGGAGAAGGACTTGGGGGTGTTGGTGGATGAGAAGCTCAGCATGAGCCAGCAATGTGCACTGGCAGCTCAGAAAGCCAACCACATCCTGGGCTGCATCAAAAGAAGTGTGACCAGCAGGTTCACAGGAGGTGATTCTGCCCCTCTATTCTGTGCTCCTGAGACCCCACCTGGGGTACTGTGTCAAGCTTTGGAGTCCTCAACGCAGGAAGGACATGGATCTGCTGGAACAGGTCCAGCGGAGGGCCACGAAGATGATCAGAGGGATGGAGCACCTCTCCTATGAAGACAGGCTGAGAGAGCTGGGGTTGTTCAGCCTGGAGAAGAGAAGGGTCCAGGGAGACCTCATAACAGCCTTCCAATATCTGAAGGGAGCTACAGGAGAGCTGGAGAGGGACTCTTTGTCAGGAAGTGTGGTGACAGGACAAGGGGGAACGGTTTTAAATAGGAAAAGGGGAGATTTAGATTTGATACCAGAAAGAAATTCTTTGCTGTGAGGGTGGTGAGACACTGGAACAAGTTGCCCAGAGAAGCTGTGGCTGCCCCATCCCTGGAGGGGTTCAAGACCAGGCTGGATGGGGCTTTGAGCAACCTGGTCTGGTGGGAGGTGTCCCTGCCCATGGCAGGGGGGTTGGAACTAGATGATCTCTAAGGTCCCTTCCAACTCTAACCATTCTATGATTCTATGATTATATATATAGCAATATATAAACTATATTTCATATATTTCTATTTTTTATATAATACGTTGTATGGTCTTGATTAATATTACCAAAATACTTTGTTGACACTGTGGCATCCAAGAGATTGCAGTCACAAACTGTAATTGTGGCTTAGGGACTGTGTAAATACAGGTTTGAGTGCCATCTGAGCCAGCCACTGCGTTGCTGATGACTTCTTCAGAAAAACACTGTTGCCCAACAGCACCAAGCAGATGACAGATCTCACCCACCGAAGGAAGCAATTCTTTGGGTGGAAAAGGCTACTTTTTTACATCTGGAGGCGACGTCCAATTCAGGATGCCTATTTCAGTATCAGCGTGGCTGGACATGATTTACAGGGACATGTGAATAATTAATTGCAGCTCTGGAAGAGAGAGCTGGGTACTCATTAGAGGTTCCTTGAAGCCCAAATGATATAATGATTAACCGAGTTAGGATCTTTTTAATAATTCCAGCAATTTCAACTCTCCCATGTTAAAGATCTGCTGAGAAGCTTTTATTCAGATGAAAGACTCCTTTCAGAGAACAAATCATTAATAGAGTATACATATAGATTCAACATTCACAAATCAATGCACTTGAAATAAAGGATGTTTTTAAAGTTTCTCTTTCACTTTCTTCCCCAATTTGGGGGTTTAGTGTCTTTCTTTCTCTAACCAATTTTACCACAGGCAGTTAAGACAGCTGCATGAAAAAGGGCTGCTTTCCTGTTAAAAGTGCTTTTTGGTACTTTGGCATCCTGAAATGGACGGTGGCAGAGAAATGCAAAATAGAGCTACTACACCAATCCAGCACACCTTACTTGAGATGCCAAGTTTTTCACTCCAAGCCCATCCATGCTAGAGAAAAAGCTATTAGATGGATGTCCAACACGGTTCAGCATTACCGTGCAGAAGGGATCAAAGCAGATTTTATCCCTGCTCCTAAATAATGCCAGAGGAAAACATTTTGGTCCAGATGCTTTAAAGGTATTTAGACTTTTGCTTAACTCCTATTTAAGTACTTTCCTATCAATAGCTACAAATGTGTCCCATCATTTGGAGTCCAGCACCCTGTGTGTCTGCTGCTTCAGCCCTTGAAGGTTTCTTCAAGGCCTTCAGTGGGAATGGAACAAGTACTTTAATGCTTTGCACAGTGATGGCCTAAATTTTTTGGACGTTTCACACCCTGGTATGTCACTCCAGAGCTGTAGGATCTGCAGGTGCTGCGCTGGTGGGCGGGCAAGGACAGAACCAAAACTCAGATTCAAATCTCCTAATTATCAGCCTGCTCTCCGAAACTGAGGAATGCGCAACCAGGAGGCAACTGATGTGTAGGCTGTTAAATGCACACACATTCATAATTAATATGCCTGGGTCTGGAAAAGATAACAGCTCCATTTTCTTTATACGGGCCCATGTTTGCAATCCAGCTATTTTGATTTTCTACAACTTTCTTGATTGACTGTTAAGTCGAGTTTCCAAACTTCACAGCCTCCACTCTCATCAGAAAGGATTTACAAACCAAACTGTGAGGCTCAGACAACAGTTAATAGTTTGAGACGCTAACTGGCCATATTTAATGAATTTAATTTGCAACAGCCCTCCTAATATACATAACTATTAACTCTGACCAACTTTGCCTTCCTTGGGACCTACACCTGCTCCCATTAACGTCAGTGAGATATGGATCCAGGCCACAACGTTAATGCTTTCTGGACCTCTTCAGTGGCACAAATTAACCCTCGCAGATGGCTCCACACACAGCAACCAGGAAGGTGACAGAGAGTTGTACAATGGACACCACAGCAAACTGTCCTGCTGCTCTAACAAATCCCTCTGCATTAAGACTTTCCTTCCCAACACCCCTTTGCTCAGGAAGGGAACTGCACCCCTGAAGCGACAGGCAGGGACACGTCTCTCCCCGTCGGCGTGAAATTCTGACAGCAAAAAAACTCAATGAAGGTGAGGAGAACCCGCCGTAACGCTGGGCTCTTACACTGCGCTTTGCTCCTTCAAAGACCTAGACAGACATTAATTTGATTTGCCAAGCTGGTGTTTTTCTGAGGGCTGTGCTATCTGCTCATCACAACGGAGTTCCGTGACCCACCTCCATATTAAACACCCAGCCCCATTCTTACTCTCAGTGTTTGCTCATAGGAAATCGGTGAGCCCCTGAACCAGAAATACTCTGTCTGTAGAGAGCCCTCCCTTGGAAGCAGAAAGAAACTGAAATTTTACAGTCGAAACTTGTTCCACCGTATTTTGGAAGCGGCACGCAGGGTATGAAAAGCACTACTTGGGATTAACGACACTTCGTTTAGAGACACGCTTAAAGTTGCAATTAAAGCAGGTGGGGTGGGGGGACACAGCAACAAAGCTCACCCCCAATACAACTGGGCTTTAATTACAACGTATATTGTGTATATACAGCATATTGTATATATACAGCTGAAGGCTGACTGCCTTCAGCACTCCCCGCTCTCTACCTCTACGATATCCTATAAGCCAAAATTTGTTTTAACGAAAATAAAACTCCCTGCTCAGCCAAAAAAGCATCAGCCCGCACCCCGCTCCCTTGCACCATCTGCACATGTTTATTCTCAGCCTTCTGGAAATAAAAAAAAAGCAAAAAAAACCCACAAAAAACCTCTAACATTTTACTAATCTTTATGCCCCGCCACTATAAATAACAGAAATAAACCCCACCGACAGTTAAGCATCGTAGCTCAAACGCATCCAATCCACTCTGATTATTTCTGCTCCTCTGTCCACGCAGAGACGCAGCCACCGGCTTCAGGGGACAGCGCGAGAGTCACCCCGCATTTATTTACGGCTGCACTACCCAGAAACAGCCTTTCCCCGTCTCCTCATTCTATGAATATTTTAAAACACTTTTTTTCCCCCCTTTTTTTCTCTTTTTTTGGGGGGGAGGGGGTTGTTAGCCCAGCTCCTGCCCCACAGTTATATTTTATTTCTCCGTCTTTCCAGATCGCCCCGACTTCTTGCTCGGATGGATGAGCGGGGGCGCGGAGAGGGACCGATGGGTGCACAGGAGAGAATACACACACACACACCATACACACACACACACACCCGCGGGAGGACCCGCGCATCCCCCGCGGGGAAGGGACAGCGCCACCCGCCCCGCTCCGCGCTTCCCCCCCCATCCCCAAAATCCGCGCAGCCGCTCCCCGCCACCTACGTCCCCAGCGTCTCCTTGAACTCGAAGATCTTCTTGATGTCCTCCGCTTGCTTCTTCCAGGAGCCGCCACCGTCCCCGTTCTCCCGGGCCATGGCCGCGCCGCGCAGCCCCGCGCAGCCCCGCGGATGCCGGGCCGGGCGGCACCGAGCGGGCGGACGGCTTTTGCTTTCTCTTCTGCCGCCGCTGCTGCCGCGGCTGCTGTTTCTTCTTCTTCCTCTTCCTCCTCCTCCTTCTTCTTCTTCTTTTTCTTCTTCTTCTTCTTCTCCCCTTCCTCCTCCTCCTCCTCACACTTCCTGCCCGCCGCCGCTTTTATTTCCTCCGCGCTCCGGCGGGCTCCGCGAGTGTCACTTTTCCTGGGCTATTTCCTCCCAACTTTCTCTGCCGCA